TTCCTTCCTTCCTTCCTTCCTTCCTTCCTTCCTTCCTTCCTTCCTTCCTTTCTTTCTTTCTTTCTTTCTTTCTTTCTTTCTTTCTTTCTTTCTTTTCTTTATATTCGTTGTTTTATGTGTGAGCCTATCAGCAGTGCTTTCTTTTAGTCATACATCCTGTAGCTATTTAGTGAGCAGCTACTGTGTATCAAGCCTGTGTGCTGGGCAAAACCAAATGGCTATCCTGGGTTCAGGCCTGGCTCTCCTCGGAGGGGCAGGAGGTAGTTGCTTAGAGTTCCTCTCCCTGTAAGTTTCTATGTTTTCATCTTACTATCCGGTTGCATCGCCTGAAATTCCTTTGCTGTGTTAAAAATCCAAGTTTTCCCTCTCCTCCGCCAGGCATAACTCACTCAGTGGCTATCAGCCCTCAGACTTCAGTGCGCATTAGCTTCTACCATTGCTTTCTGAAGGCACTTTGAGCTGAGGAGCAGTTTCTGCAGCTGTGGACATTTCTCCTGGGAGTGCAACACAGATGCATTTCATAGTGTCCCCGGACAAGCGAGGGGCTGGGTGTAGGGCTCTCAGACCTCTGGCCGGGCCCTGCTGCGGTCCCCAGAAGCCCTGGGCTGTGGGAGGGTTGAAGGAGAGCAAGGCGAAGAGAGACGGGCATGAAATCTTTTTGTCTCATTCACACTTTTGTCTGAGGCTGGTCCTGCTCATAAGAAGAGTCTCAGGTTCCCTCTCCTTTTCTCTATTTTATTTTATTTTTTTGCATGGGGATAAGGAGCCTAAGGAGTACCAAGGAGGCATTATAGATCTGAGCGAGACAGAGAGGGGAGCACACAGACACAGACGGACACAGACAGACAGACACAGACACAGACACAGACACAGACACAGACACAGACACAGACACAGGCACAGACAGACATAGACACAGACACAGACAGACAGACACAGACACAGACAGACACAGACACAGACACAGACAGGGAGGTGGAGAGAGAGATGGAGATAGACTCAGAGGGAGAGACTCAGATGGATGCTGTCTCCTGGAGCACTGAAAGGAAAGAGAGAATAAACAATTTGCAGTAGCTTCAGAATGTTTGAACCTGGCTACCTTTCTTCCTTAGTCACTTGTTCATTCATCTGGTATCTTTTTGTCTTTCCTTTTTTGAGCATCTAAAAGGTGTGCTGTGGAGGCCCCGGGAGGGAGATAAAGTGATTAGGACAAGGCTTCAGGCTAGGGCAGGGTTCTTAGCTGGGGCCTACGGTGGTGCTTGAGGGATTCCATGGACCTCAGAAATTACAGACTAAATTTTGCGTGTATGTCGGCCTATAGTTTTAATCCGATTCTTAAAGAAGTTTATGGGTGTAAAAAACATGAGGAATTACGGGCCCAATGGGAGTGGTGGAGAGAGTTTTCACCTTTCACCAGAGCCCGGCATGGGAACTTGCCGCCGGTGCTAACAGAGAGCGGTGTGTGCGCGAGCGCCTGGGGGAGCCTGTGTGCCAGTGTCTGGGGGAAAGGGCCGCAGAGTTTCCCCTGAAGCTGTGAGGCCGTGTATTCACAGGTGTCCTGTTTTTGAGGACAGAAGAAAGGTGGGAGAGATGATCGAGGCTGATGTGGATGAGGGAGGGGGGGAAAGGACATGTTTTACGCTGGCCCTGCAGTTTTGTGCTTTGGAGATTTCCTCTCTTGTTCATTTGTTCACTCATACATTCCCTCCATCACTCATTCACTCCCTCACTCGTTTTTTCTTCTGAACACAAGGCCTCTGCCGGGGATCAGACCCCCGCCCACCCATGAACCCATCTTCTTCACCAAGTTTTTTAGCCCAGACGTGAGGGGCACAGGCACTCATGGGCCAGGCCCAGTCAGGGGACATGAGGCTGGTTCCTCTGCCTCCCTTGTAGGAAAGCAGATGGTGGATTACATCTGCCAGTACCTGAGCACCGTGCGGGAGCGGAGGGTGACCCCAGACGTGCGGCCAGGCTACCTGCGAGCCCAGCTGCCCGAGAGCGCGCCTGAGGAGCCCGACAGCTGGGACAGCATCTTCGGGGACATTGAGCGAATCATCATGCCTGGGGTGAGATACGGTCACCACAGAGTGGCTCTGGATTTTGGGGTATAGGGGGTGGGCGGTAGGCACGAGAGAGGCCTGGGATGACCCTTCAGCCACTTGGCCAACATCCAAGCCCAACTTCTGGGCACGTGGAGGGCCAGGACGCTGACTGAAATTGGGTTTCTGAGCTAGAGAGAAGAAGGACTGCATCCCAGGGCCTAGCTGGACGGAAGTGTGAGGTCTAACGGGATGCAGGGAGAAGTGAAAATTGGGTTTGAGGAGAGAAGATGGAGGGAGGAGGCTGGGGATCGTCCCCGAAGCACCAGTTGGCAGAACCAGGGACTCTTTCACAGAATTCTGAGACATGCCAAAGAGAAAGAAGGACACTGAGAACACATCCCCTGAGGGCACCCCGACGGTCAGGTTGGGCACCTGGGAGGCTGAGTGAGTCCCATCTGTCCCCTCCTTTCTCCTCCGAGAGGTGTCAACCGTGTCCTTTCTTATCAAGGGGGCGCGGGGGGTGTCTTGTGATTGACCTGCTTTTCAGGAGCAGGAGGGGGCTTTCCCTGAATCAGCCATACTCCCAGAGTCAAAGGGCTCAACCTGGTGACAGCCAGGGACCGGGGGATAGACAGAAGCTGGGGGGTGCACAGGGCTGGAGCTGAGGCCCGCGGCCATGGGCCGTGATGATGCCCTTGCCACCAGGAGTGAGGAGCTGTGCCAACGCCTTCATGCTGAAAGTGCACCAGCCCTCCTCCCACGGAAGGGCTGCCTTTTACTAAGCTCCATGCCACGTGCCAGGCACTGTACCTGCTGCATAACTGGCCAGCCTGTTTTATCTGATAGTGACCCTAGAATCCCTGTTTTACATGTGAGTAAACTGAGGCTCAAAAAAGCTCACTGTCTTCCCAAAGCCACAAAATGTGTGCCTGACAAATCCAGGATTTTAACCTTGGCCAGTCTTACTCCAAAGGCGCTGCCGTTTCTTCTACGCCAATATCTCTGATAGTGAGTGACCGAGTGCCTTAGACTGAGCCCACACACCAGGCGCCACTCTTTGAGCTGCGCCCCAACACCAGGCTGTCTGCTCACTCCCCCTGCTTGGGGCCTTGATGTTCCAAACAGCACATGTCCAGCTGCTCTTCCCGAGGCCGACTGGAGGTCTGCTTCCATTACCCCTAAAGAGCTCTGGACTTAGGTGTGACAAGAAGTGTGCTTGGAGGCAGGGGTGAGAAATTGTTCAGACTCAGAAAGGGATGGCAAGTTTGTGGCAAGCCAAATACTTATTTCTCTCTGACCATTCACCCTGTTTCACAAGCATCTTTCAAAAAATTTTATATCAGTAACACTTTACCAAGGAGGCTAGCTCCCCGATAAGATTATCTCCTGGATTTCGTTCTGAAAAATGTCATCTGCTGAGGGACCAACTGTAATTTGGTAGTGATGTGAAAGCAACTGTCAGAAGAGGCGGAAATAAGCTGATTCATTCGATTGAGAGGAATTCCAGCAGTTGCTGGTCAAAGAGGCTCTTTTCTGGACCCAGAGGTCTGTCTGTTTTGATAAAGGTTCCTCTGGCTTATCTTATTGTGTTTATCTGACAAGAACACACAATTGCCCCTTGATAGGATCAGGAAGTAGAAGCCCTTCTCTGGGTTTCCAAAATAATGTCGCTAAGCACGTCGATAATGAAGCCCAATCTTTCATCTCATCTCACAGGCTGTGCCAGCCTCTCAGAGACGGCCTGAAAGCTGCTGGCCCTTTCCTTTCTCATTTTGGCCAGCACCTCACTGACAACTCTGACAACTGGCTTAGTTTTTCTCTCCTGGTCACCTCCTAGGCAGAAAGAGAAGGAAAACCATCATTTTGCTTTAATTCCAATCCTGGTTAAAAAAAAACCTCATCTGCTCTCTTTTTAAAAAATAGTTTTATTGATTTTTAGAGAGAGAAGGAAGGGGAAGGAGGTTAAGGGGGAGAGAGAGGGGGGGAGAACCTGGGCATGTGCCCAGGCCAGGAATTGAACTAGCAACCTTTCAGTGCACTAGACGACACCCAACCAACTCAGCCACACCAGCCAGGGCAAACCTCACCTACTCCTGATGAGAGAGCAGCAGCAGGGGGGAGGAGGCAGGATGCCATCCTGCTTAGGCGCTTGGCTCTGTAGTCGGCAGCACTGGGTGTTTGTGTGGGTGCTGCCCCTCCGAGGGGTGTGTGATCACGGGAATGCTGCCTCTCTCTGCCAGCCCCAATTCTCATCTGTAAAACAGGGATAACGGTAGAACCTACCTCACAGGGGTGCTGCGAGAATTAAATAAGATAAATCATGGAGAGTGGAAGATGTCCCCTGCGATGCCCTCTGCCCGGTGAAACTCTGAGGAAGAGGTCTGATCACCTAAGAGTCAAGTCAGGGTAGTGACATGTCCATCACCGGGTGATTATCATTAACATTAGCGCTTTACATTTGACACATTTCCTCCAGGGCAATTTATACAGCAACTCCAGGAGACAGGATTTAGTTTTTGATGAGAAACTGAGGTTGAGAGAGGTATAGGGGAAGATCCTGGTTTTATGGGGTCTGAATCCTACACAAATTTTAAGATCCCCTTTAAGAAAATAAAATTAAGGATAGAGCTCAAAAGAGACCCATACAAACAGGGGACCTTGTAGTTTAGGTTCATTAGCTTCACAGTAAATAGACAAAGTGACACAGCTGGTTAGGGGCAGAGGTAGGACTGGAACCCGTGTCCTTGACTTTAAACCTTAAGCTCCTTCTACCATACTAGCTGTCCAGGACACTGTCCTAGCTCTTGAGGGGTAAAAGGAATTTGTGCAGCCTAAATAACTCGATACCATACTAAGATGTCATTATGATGAGTTCTCTAGTAGAATGAGAGTATTCCATGGGCTCCCAGAAGGGATCAAAGGGGCTAGGGAGCTGGGGAAGGGTTTGTGGAGGAAATGAATATTTAGTGGCTTTCTAAGAATTAACAGGTTTTGGAGGGTCAGGTCTGTATGGGAAGTGCCTTCCTGTCAGGGGACACAGCATTACTCAAAGACAGGAATGCACAAATGAACAGGGTGTGTTTGTGGAGAAGTGAGATAAAGCCAGATTATATCATCAGTGAGGCCGATGAGTCCCTGAGGATGCTTCAGAGATCTGTTTTAAGGGTCCTTCCTGTCTACCTGGCTCCTCCTAACATCTGATTAATCTGATTGTGGGCTCAGGGGTTAGCCTGGAGGCATGGGCCCATGCCCATGGGTTGGCACTTCTCCTGCCCTCTTCTCTCTTCTCTCCATCCTCACTGGGAAGCTAAGGACAGCTTTGAATCCATTCACACTGACCCTCTGCAGAAGCTGCATGGCCAGGGAGCTCAGCGATCCATAACGCAAAGAATGCAGCCTGCAAGCAACCTGCTGTTCCCAATAGTCTCCCCTTCTTTTTATTACTGGGCAGGGGTGGCATGGGAGATGAGCATTGGAGACTAATGGCAACATCACCCAGAATCCCCAACTCTAATTACTATAGAAATTTTCATTTCACATACTCCCTTCTGGTCTTTGCATATGTGCAGATGCTCCACCGAAGAACTAGCTTAGAGTATGAGAAATGTGGATGGCAGGAATACCATGAATATGCCTTATTTTTATGGAGTTGTGTCATTCATTTGGCTGTCTTCAAAATGTCAGCCCATCTCTAGACTGGGTGCTTCCCCTTGCCAGGGAGGGTCTCTGGAGGAGGAAAGCCTCCCTCTCATGCCTCCTGGTGTCACCTGTGTACATGCTCTGTCCCCAGGTGGTGCATTGGCAGAGCCCCCACATGCATGCCTACTACCCAGCCCTCACCTCTTGGCCATCACTGCTGGGAGACATGCTGGCTGATGCCATCAACTGCTTGGGATTCACCTGGGTGAGTAGCAACGGCTGTGTCTGTAACCAGCGGCAGTGGGGAACACAGCAGGAAGTGACATCCCGGGACACACTTATTTTATCCTGGTCTCCGAACAGGGTTCCAGGTTAAATATTAACAATGGCTACATTTTTTGAACTTAAGCTTTACATAAGTTATCTCAACTTATCCTTTAACCCCATGGAATCGTGAGTATTGGCCCCATTTTGGAAGTGAAGAAATTGAGGCTTAAGTAACTTATCTTGCCCTGACCACAAGCTCAAAGAGACAAGAGATGAGATTTGGACTGAGATCTGCTTATTGCTGCAGTTTGTGACCCTAACTAAACAGTTTGGTGCCTGTGGGAACAACTTCCCTTGTGCTCTTGTCTGTGAGGGTTTCAGGAAGTGCCTAAGGCTTCTCTCACTAAGCCCTTAAGCACCAATCAGCCTTAAATTATGCCACACGCCTCCTGGAACAGCTTTATGTTTTAAGCCTGAACCCGGTTACAGGATGTGCGTGGGTGCGTGGGTGGGGTGGAGGGACCCGAGGGGAGGAGAGCTGCTTTTTCCAGGAAGGAGTGCTTGCTTTCTTAGTCCAAAAACTTCCCCTTGGCCTTTGGAATGCCTCTCAGCTGGGTATTTAAGGGACTTGGGGAAGCAATCATTTCTATGGCTCGGGGTCCCAGGAGACTCCACCTCCTCAAGGGTGGCATGAATCCAAAGCCCCACGTTCTTTTCTCTTTTTGGTTTGGCAGAGGATGGGGTGGGGCTGGGGCACAGGGCCTGACATTGGCCCCTTCTCCAGAGGAATACTAGGGCAGAGGCAGATGTATTTCTGGGGCTGGTGGGCACACCTTGGTGCCCTGGGGCTGTCCAGATGAGGTTGCTTTCCCTCTTCCAGGCTTCCAGCCCTGTGTGCACGGAGCTGGAGATGAACGTCATGGACTGGCTGGCGAAAATGCTGGGACTCCCAGAGCACTTCCTGCACCACCACCCCGGCGGCCACGGGGGAGGCGTCTTGCAGGTGCCTCCATTATCAAAGCTCCCCTAGCACAGGGAATAAGTAGAGATAGATAAGCCAGACCCTTGCCTGGGCGGTTCTCCTGTTCCCCAGGAGTCTCCACATGTCACTCACACCCCCACCATCACTGCCACCACCATTGCCATTACCGTCATCGCTGTCATCTGGCTAAGTCGCCACCTCCACCGGGGCCACACCCCACCATCGCTGCCACTGGCATCTCAACTTCCACTTTGTTCATAGCTGCTGCCACTGATTCCACTCTTTCTTTTTCCTTTCCTTGAAAAAGATGAAAAAGACAAGGTATCATCACGTTTCCGGTATGACTGGATTCAGGTTTCTTAGTTTGTAATCTGACAACTCCCTTTTCTTGTCCCATTTTACACCTTATGGTAAACGGCAAAGAGTAGCAAGTAGAGACTCCTTCCCATCCCTTCTAGGTCCAGGAGATCCTCGGCAGTGAGAGAAATGAACAGCATACATCAAATTATCTTATCCTACAAGCCTGTCTTTTGTATATCTATCAAATGATGGTTCTTCAAAAATTTTTCTCTCTCTCTCTCTTTTTTTTTGTCAAGAGTAATACAGCATAGTGGAGCTTTCTGGGTGCCAGCCAGAGACCACGCCCATTGCCAGGTGCTTTTGCATCTATAAACCCTTGACATTCGTGAGGGCATGGTGGCATGGTTCTGAGAACTTTGAGGACCTCCAAATTCTTGAATTCTATTATAATGTGTACTTTTCTTAGTTTTATAATCTGTAAATAGGATAACATCATTTCCCTCACACCTCACACTCACAGAGTGGGTATGAGGATTTAAAGAATTCTCCTATGAAATAAAAATATCCACGCTGCCCTGAGATGAGAACCGGAAAGTTTGAAGGGTCCACTTGTTAGCTAAGTGACTCCCTCTCTCACTTCAACCTTGCACCAGGATTAAAATGTGAACCTCGCAAGAAAGACAAATTATTGTACGTCGTGGACGTTCTGGCTTGTAGCAAGTAGTTAAAACTTCAGATAGTATATCTGGGAGAACATGCTAAATGTCTGCTGTACGTGATCTTGCTTTTCCTCCATTCGTCTCAAGAAACCTATAGGTAAATATCATCATTCCTCAAGTTTTGAGATAAGAGCCCTGAAGCTCAGAAAGGTTAAAAACTTGCCCCGGGTCACACAGCTGGTAAGTGAAAGAAGAGCTTGCCTGATCCCATTTTACCCTGTATCCATCAGCCGCGTGAACTTGGCTTAAGTCCTGTAATCGCTCTGAGCATCATTATCTTCATCTATAGACCAGGATCACAAGAATCTCAGAGAGGTTTTATGAGGTGCCAATGGGATGACAGAATGTTTTGTAAATTATAAATTGCTATGCAGAGGTAGGTGGTATTATTGTTACTGCTCTGCTGGCTTCCTTGCTGCGGAGTAATTTCCAGCCACTGACTATCTAGGGGGATATGGTCGTACCACTCCCGTGACACTGTCTGCCGGGCTTTTCAGCAGCGAGCTATCAGCTGTGGGTCTCCTGAAGATTTCAAGAAGCAACGACACTGAAGACTGAGCAGATGAGTGACGAGAAACTGACGATTCTGTGAGGCTGCTGAGGTGCCCCCAGGAGGCCCAGAGCCATAACCAGAGCAAAGTCCTATCCACCGCTCATTGGGATGAAAACGACTCTCAACCCAGAGGCAGTTAGAGGGACATGCTCCATTTTATAAATGAAAAAAGTCTTCCAGAGGGAAAGTATTAGATCAAGGTCCTAAGAGCCACTGGCAACAAAACCGAGGCCAAAGTCATCAGTCTCTCTCAAAGGCCAGGGTCCCTCTTTGAGATATCCCTGTGGAAAGAAACTCTGTTTCCATACCTAATAAATTGGGAGTGCTTTCTTTTAAGCATTTTTTTTTTTTTTTTTACATGGGGAACAAACATATGTATAGGCAAACTTGTATCTAGCAGGGGCTAAACATTTTCTTTTTGGTCTCTGTGGCCTCGCTAATAAAGATGCTGGTTTTAGGTGAAAATTTGCTTTCATTGCTTCCCTGGAAAGTTGGAGAGAGGTGCCTCAGGATTGCTTAGGGTGCTGTGAATGGAGAATGCAGAATAGACATGAGCTTAGTCAGGAGATGTGTGCTTTTTAAGGAATAGCTATTCACACACACACACACACACACACACACACACACACACACACACCTGTGAAGAGCCTGGGGGACACTGGAGAGAACACAGGGAGAGGCTGCCACTGGCGATCCTTCTTCCACTACAGAGCACAGTCAGTGAGTCCACCTTGATCGCCTTGCTGGCAGCAAGAAAGAACAAAATCCTGGAAATGAAAGCATCTGAGCCCGGGGCCGACGAGTCCTCCCTGAACGCGCGGCTCATTGCCTATGCTTCTGACCAGGTGAGTTGCCCACCATAGGCCATTCCTTGGCTTCTGGAGTTATAGTCTTGGGGCCATTTTCTTCTAGACATGCATATACTGGGGCTTAGGGAAGCTCCGGCCTGTGAGATTGTCCCCAGGAACGTTAGGGACAGACAAATGTCAAATGCTATATTTGACTCCCTTAGTCTGGCTGCAGCAGTTTCTGGGGAGTGCTCCTCCCAGGATGACTCTGCTAACGGGTTTCCATGGTCCTGCCAGGCTCACTCCTCGGTGGAAAAGGCTGGTTTGATTTCTCTTGTGAAGATGAAGTTTCTGCCTGTGGATGACAACTTCTCACTCCGAGGGGAAGCTCTCCAGAAAGCCATCGAGGAAGACAAGGAGCGAGGCTTGGTGCCTGTCTTTGTAAGTCAGAATGTGTTCTAAGCTTAGGATGGTAGAACCTGGAGGTGAGGAAGGAATTGTGGCAGAATTCAGGTAAGTAACATGCTGTAAACAAAAGTAAAAAGGCTTTCAAGTGCAATGTTTTACAATTTATAAGTTGTTATTCACTGGAGTGTGAGGAAATAAATTTTGGGGGTCAAAACTAGCATTAAAAAGAAAAGACATAGAATAGAAAATCTCAGAGTGCATTCCTGTAACCAGAGTATATCATGTTTTGTGAAAATTTTATTTCAAATACACATGCATATATGCACTAGATTACCCTATAACATGTATTTCTTACTGTGGGTCATGGCAAAATATAGTGTGAGATACACACTGTTCCAGCAGGAAGGGCAGGGTAGATAACATCTGTGACTAAATTTTCTTTCAGGCCAAATGTGTCACAAGAGCCCACCTTCCCACGTTAACTTCCTGTGTTTTCCTCCAGGTCTGTGCAACCCTGGGGACCACTGGAGTCTGTGCGTTTGACTGCCTGTCAGAGCTGGGTCCCATATGTAAGTCTGCCCTGTCTGGCTGGGAAGACAAGTAATAAATTCTAGAATATTCCCTAGAGCAAGAACCTGAAACCAGCTCCGTGGAATTATCTTGCCCCTCCATCATCATTGCAGAGAGAGTGTGTGGGAAGAGCCGCCAAAGATCACAGATATCTTCCTCTAGACAGCCAGCTCACTGCTTTTCCCAGAGGCATGACCAAGGGTTAGAGCTGCTGTCCCTTTTGTCTTGTCCTAGGAGGCAGTGGTGGGAGAGCCTCAGGCTTCTCACCCTCTCACTTGTATGTCAAAATCTGCTTAAAGCAGGCTGCCTCCCAAAGCACAGAGAGGATGAGGCATAGAGAAATATCTTCCAGTCTAGGCTAAAAAAAATGAAAAGTATAGGATAGGCAAAGCCATGGGGGGAGATCAAGACAGGAAAAACCTCCCAGTGTGAGTGTTTAAATCTCCTAGAAGAACCCAGCTAGGAAAGAGGGACATCCCCTCTCTAATGCTTCTATTAGATGCATTAACATTGCTCTCCAGGCCAGTGGAAGTTGGTTTCTGTGTCAGAAAGCTCTAGGATGAGGCCCACAGGGTGTTGACCGCTGGTTAGTGAGGGGAAAAGGCCAGGGTGGGGCTCTGTGGGCTTTCCCTTTGGGAGATGGCGGGGCCTCATTCTGCCCACTCCTCACACCGAAACTCCCTCTCATCTCCATGTGCCTTTGCGTCCCATGCCGCCAGAGCAGGCCGGCCTTTCCCAGCTCTTCTCCTGTAGCCCACCAGCCAGCTGGGCCAGATAAGAGATGCCTTTTAGCTGGCTGGTGGCAACCCCCTTTGACCCCCAGTCCCAGCTCCCAGCCAGACGCTGTTTGCCTCTTCAGGTGCCAGGGAAGGGCTGTGGCTCCACATCGATGCTGCCTACGCGGGCACCGCCTTCCTGTGCCCCGAGTTCCGGGGCTTTCTGAAGGGCATCGAGTATGCCGACTCCTTCACCTTTAATCCTTCCAAGTGGATGATGGTGCACTTTGACTGCACCGGCTTCTGGTGAGTGTGGCAGCCCAGCTCCCGCCCTCGGGAAAGCCTTGCTGCCTCTGGAGAGGCCTCGGCCGCTGATGCCCACTGGGAAACCCACAGGGTCAAGAACAAGTACCAGCTGCAGCAGACCTTCAGCGTGAACCCCATCTACCTCAGGCATGCCAACTCGGGCGCAGCCACCGACTTCATGGTGAGTGGCCAGAGCGAGCAGCTGGGGGGCCTCTGGAATGGAAGCTGGACTGCATGTGACCCCCCTCCCCCCAGCGTCTCCTGTATGTCAGCTTTGGTCAGAAAGTGGCACATTGGGAGTCCACCCCGTAATATCAATACTGCATACCTTTGGTTTCAAACTGTGCCCGGGATGAAACCCAGAGCACTTTAAAAACCCTAAAAATGAGACCAACCTTTGTCTGCATGTCTCCTAAATATTTGTGGCATTTTAAAATTTATCTTTATTCCCAGAAAGTCTCCTTACCATAAATGGACCAATTCTCTTCTTCCTCTGTCCTGGATAACCTTGTTTGCCTGCTACCCAGCAGCAGGGTAGGGTGGAGAATTTCCTTGAGTAGGGAAAGGGGCTCCTTGCTTAAAGCACTGTTATGTTTTTGTCCCTGTAGAGAAAATGTGGGAGGCTCCGCTGTGGGGTGGGGCCATGGCCATGCTTCCTGAGTTTCTGGATGCCTCTAGACATTCCCGGTGTCTCCACCAGCTGCATCTCAGTCTCTCCAACCTGCCCATGTTCTCAGCCTGTACCATCTCTTGGGGGAACAGGTCCTTCAGATTTACTCCCCAGTTTGAAGATGAGCCCTTCCTGTAATTGTAGGGCAGGCAGAGATGTGAACAAATAAATTGCTTGTCATGGCTAAGGGAAGACAGCAGTGGCCTTTGGGAAACTTAGTGGACCTTGACTTATTTCTTTACATTCAATATTATTTTGTATTAGTTTCAGGTGTACAGCACACTAATTAGACAATCATCTACTTTACCAAATGTTCCCCCAATATTTCCATTACCCATTTGGCACCATACATAGTTATCACAATATTATTGACTATATTTTCTATGCTGTGCCTTACATCTCCATGACTATTTTGTAACTACCAATTTGTACTTAAAAAAAAAATCTATCATCTATCTATCATCTATCTATCTATCTATCTATCTATCTATCTATCTATCTATCTATCTATCTATCTATCATCATCTATCATCTATCATCATCTATCTATCATCTATCATCATCTTTATTGATTTCAGAGAGAGGAAGGGAGAGGGAGAGATATAGAAACATCAGTGATGAGAGAGTCATTGGTCAGCCTCCTCCTGCATGCCCCCTGCTGGGCATTGAGCCTGCAACCCGGGCATGTGCCCTGACCAGGAATTGAACCTCGATCTCCTGGATCCTAGGTTGATGCTAAACAGCTGAGCCACTCCCTGCTGGGCTCATTTGTACTTCTTAATACCTTCACCTTTTACACCCATCCCCCCAAACCCCCTCCCCTCTGGCAACCATCAGTCTGTTCTCTGCATCTGTGAGTCTGGAACCTTACTGTTCATATTTCTACATCTAGAAAGTGCTGCCTTATGCTTTTTCTTCAGTCACCTCTAATCCCATGGATTTAATTTTCAAGTCTACAAAGAAACTCCTAGAAAACTAAAGCTGTTGCTTGAGAGCCTGGGGGTCTTCCCTACTGCTCTGACCTGTGCCCCAAGCTCTTTTTCACCCACGTGGCTGCAGCTCTGAATAGAAGCCCACAGCATCCTGGGAGAGAAGATTTAGGGACTTCATCCCTGGGGCCCTGGAGCCACCCCAAATCAGGGCTAGGTTCTCTGACATCAGGGATGCGCCCTCTCCCTCCCCCATAGTGAATGGGGCATTGTCTTGCCCTCGGCAGAGGAGACCTGCAAATTTTGAAAGAACACAGAGGAGGTTTGGGAATGCCTTGAGTTAAAGAAGAGCCATGTCACCCTTTGTAAGTCCAAATTTACTGTCCAAAAGGAAGTATCAGGTGGAACCACCCAGCTGGGTCAGCATGGGTTGGTTTTGGAATAGTGACAAAAGGAATAGCTGGGGATATGGACAGAGTGTGAGGAAATCAAAATTAAAATAATCTCCTCCTCTCCTTTAATTTGCTGGTGAAATAAAGTAGCTAAATGTTTTTTCACCCCCACCTGAGGATATTTTTTCCATTGCTTTTCAGAGACAGTGGAAGGGGGAGAGAGAGAGAGAAACATCGATGTGAGAGGCACATCAATTGGTTGCCTCCCACATGCGCCCACAGGGATCGAGCCTGTATGTGCCCTTGGCTGGCATCGAACCCGGGACCCTTCAACCCATGGGCTGATGCTCTAACCACTGAGCAAACTGGCTAGGGCTAAGCAGCTAATTTATAGCCACCTGGAAAACAATGTTTTTAGGAGAAGGCCTCTGTCAGACATTCATTATTCATCTAAAAAGTGGTGGAGTTAACGCCTTCCCTCTTACCAGGGATTTTGTTCCATGTCTGGGTTTTGATGCCCTCTGCTGGTAAATAGAAGTTTCCAAGCTGGTCTTCAGCACTTGTGCTTGGAAAGCAAAGGCTTAGTCCTTGTTGTGGGAGAAACACTGTCTCAACAAAAGGGTCATGTCCCAACTGTGCCTGGGGCAGGGCGCTGGGGTAAAAGATGAAGGTGAGCGTGTTTCTGAGGATTTGGCAATCCTGTAGATGAGTAGATAAATATCCAGTGGGGGTTAATATTTATTTTCTGTCAACAGAAATTGTGGTAGAAGCTTCCTGACATTTGAGGAAGAGGTCACTAGAAACCACGTTGCCTATCAGAATAACTGTGAATATTTTCCACACCCTTTGCTCTTTCAGATCTGAGAAATCGGTTAGATATCGCTTTGAAATTTTTCAAATCTATGGTGCCTGCAACCTTGAACTTTGAACTCTGTTGAATTTAGTCACCAGAAAAAAAGGTCAAATTTAGTCTAACAGAGGCCGAAATGCAGATTCTCATTTGAGATCTGAAAGCTGGAGCGATGACTCCCGAGGGCACAGGAATGTCACAGGGAAAAGTGAGGAGAGGGAAGTGAGATTAACTAATGACCATCTTGGTGCTCGGCAGAAATACTACTGTGATTTGTAGCTCACATTTTAATTGTATAAATAGCCACACTGACTGACAACTTCCTGTGAAGCTCTTTGTATCCGTTTTCCTCGAACCACTTCCCTGGGGGGGTGCTGTCCCTTTTCTGTCTCACAAGGACAGTGGAGTGGCACTGCTCAAGGTCACGGCCTGATGTGGTGGAGCTGGAGGAGAAACCTAGGTCTGTGGGCGCCAGCCTCTGAGCTCTCCACCACTGTACTTTACAGTTTGGGGTGGGGGTGGAGAATAGACATAGAAGTTTATTTTCTGCTATTCAAAGAACTGAGGTTCTTTTAGGAAAAAAAAAATATTGCCCTTATCTTGAGTTTCAGCCTCGGTTGAAATGTGTAAAGCTGCACTTAAATATAAAGAGTCTTCTTCGTTTAGGGTCATGGACTTGGTTTCCACTTGTCCTGCTCATGGACAAGGGCTCACTGGTCACCTTCACCAGGGACTTGGCCACATGATGGATCAGCCGTTGGGTGACTCTCCTGGGCTGCTCCGTAGCAACAGCTTCTGAGTTCTGGCGACACCGACCATCCCTGGAGGGCTGGGCAGGCGAGGACGATGAGGCCCAGGCAGGCACCCTGGTCTCTAACGGGCTCTGTGCTCCTCCCTTTTAGCACTGGCAGATCCCTCTGAGCCGGAGGTTTCGCTCTATTAAGCTCTGGTTTGTGATTCGGGCCTTCGGGGTGAAGAACCTGCAAGAGCACATCAGACACGTACGTAACAGTTTGTGCGAGGGCTGTGGGCTGAGCCTGGGCTTGCTGCGTGTCCCCGTGGGGAGGAAGGCTGGTTTCTGTTTTGCAGACCTGCCCCGGGGACCCGGGTGCTAGGCTCAGGTGTCCGGAACTGCTCATGTGCTCCTGGGAGCTGACTCTTCAGGGCGGCCACCTCTTTGTTAGCGAGAGGGACACAGAGCAGGAGATGACACAGAAAACTGCTAGAAAATATTGAGTAAGGTGCTTTCCCTGAGAGAGATCCTTAGGATTTGAACATGAAAAAAAGTTCCTGGGGCAGTGATTGGAGATGGTTTACAGAGACCATGCAGTGGAGAGAGAAGAGGGTTCTGGGTGAAGTTTGGAGCAATTTGTTTCCTCATCGTCAAAGACAGGATTAGCTGAATCCCTTGCCTTCTCTTGAAAGGGAGCAGCAGGTGTGAGAACCAGGTGATAGTAATTACTTAGTAAATATTGGATTGAGTTCCTTTTGGAGGCTTAAAGAAATTTTAAGAATTGAAAGAAAAGGCAAGTCCTGTTCTTGTTTAGTCAATATTCTTTGATAAAAATAATATAGGAAAGTTTTTAAAATGACTGAATTTCAGTGAAAGATTAATATGATACAAAGCTGAAAAGTTTTTTTATTGTGGTAAAAATATACATAACAAAATTTACAGTTTAGCCATTTTTAAGTTTACAATGAAGTGGCATTAAGTGAACTAACAATGTGTGCAACCGTCACTACTATCAGTTTCCAGAAGTTTTCCTTCATCCCCTGCAGAAACTCTGTATCAGGTTTGCAAACGTAACAGGTTTGCAAAGCCTCTCCGCAGTGTACACAGAGATGATCCGTAAAATGTGTTCTTTGTGGAATGCTGGGAGAAAAAGGGGGGTGCACACAGGGCATGTGAGGTGAAAGGTTTGAGAGGCAAGGGAAAGATGATACCTTTACGTTCAGTAGAAACAAGCTGTAGCCCTCACCAGGCACCTGCTGGGAGCGCAGAGCATGGCCTCGCTTTCGGCCCTCACTTGCCCCCTTGGTGGGGCAAGAAGTGGCGAAGCCAGGGGATGAGGCCAGATTGCCTCGATCACAGAATACAGGCCTTCTGGTTCTGGGGGTGAGTTGAAAGAAGGCCCTGAGACATGATTTCTGGAGGTAGATCTGAAATGACAAGGACTAGGGAGCTGCTGGAGGTTTTCCAGCTTGGACTATGAGCAAAATCAAACAGGGGAGAAAATTCGGCAGAAGCCATTCGGGTCTCAACTGCTCAAAGGTTTCCTGGCTTAACCCCGTGTAGCAGTGTGACAGTTTATGCGAGCGTGTCCCTTGCCTGACTACTAATCTCAGTTCTCTCTATATTTACAATTCTAGGGGACTGAAATGGCTAAATATTTTGAATCTCTGGTCAGAAGTGACCCTTTCTTTGAAATCCCCGCCAAGAGGCACCTTGGCCTGGTGGTTTTCCGTCTGAAGGTAACGCCTTCTCCCGCGGCTGTGAATGATGCTATTCGGTGATCGCTTAGCATTTTGGAAACGAAAATTCTGGGCTTCTGGGGATGCTTACAGGGGCGTGGTACAGACTGCACTTCCCTTTATCGTTCAAACAGGGTCCCAACTGTCTCACGGAGAGTGTGCTGAAGGAAATAGCTAAGGCCGGCCGTCTCTTTCTCATCCCGGCCACTGTCCAGGACAAGCTGATCATCCGCTTCACCGTGACATCCCAGTTCACCACCAGGGACGATATCCTGAGAGACTGGAACGTCATTCGCGACGCTGCGACTCTCATCCTGAGCCAGCACTGTACTTCCCAGCCTAGCCCTCAGGTCGGGGACCTCATCCCCCAAGCCAGGGGCTGCAGGGCCCTGAGCAGTGGAGTGTCCCTGCAGTGCGTCAGCGGGGCAGAGGGTGACCTAGCCCAGGCCCCAAGGATCCCCAGCGATGATCCTCAGAGGATGATCCTCGCCCAGGTCAAGCAGCCTGAGCGTGCGGGAGCCGGCTCTGGGAGGAGGGAAGACAGCCGCCACCTTGAATCCCTGCTGGACCCACCTGATGACTGCTTTTCAGAAGAGGCCCCGGCTGTCGCCAAGCACAAGCTGTCCTCCTTCCTGTTCAGCTATCTCTCGGTGCGGAGTAAGAAGAGGGCCGTGCGTTCCCTCAGCTGCAACAGCGTGCCCGTGAGCGCCCAGAAGCCGCTGCCCGCAGACGGCTCTGCGAAGAGCGGGGGCTGCTCCAGGGCTAAAGTCTTCTCTAGGTTTCCAGAGGAGATGATGATGCTGAAGAAAAGTGCCTTCAAAAAACTAATCAAGTTCTACAGCGTCCCCAGCTTTCCCGAGTGCAGCTCTCAGTGTGGGCTGCAGCTGCCCTGCTGCCCCCTGCAGGCAATGGTTTAGCCCGGGCCCTTCGCCGAGTCCACGGGTGTGTTTCAGGGAGTCTCTGAGCCCCTCGCAATTGTATGCTGAATTTGTGTGCTTATGTGTATGTGCATTTTTCTTGGGGGAGAGCCCATAATTTTGTATCAGATCCTCCTAGGGGTTTAGGTCTCATAAAAGGATACAAATGGAGAGTTTAGGTGAGCATGGTCCAGAGGCTCGAGCAGCCTGGGTAGAGAAAAAGGGCCCAGGGTGGTGAACTGACAGGCAGCTTCTGTGGTTCAGCTTGTGATATGAAATGTAATGTAGAAATAAATTGTGCTTGTCTCTGAAATAAAGCATATCCTGTGTGACTTGATTGACCACTGAAATATTGATTAATTAACCAGAGCATATCCTGGAGCCTAAATGCATGTGCTTGTGGATTCTGCTTTTTTAGGTTACTGAGGATTTGAGTTTGTGAAAAAGATGAGCCTGGAGGACCCCTCAGTATGAAGAAGGCAGGCAACTTGAGTCAGGCATTGTGGCTTATAGTTTACAAATGAGGAAACTGAGGCTCCAGGTCACATATCTTATAAGCGGCCATGACTAGGTCTGCTTGTCTTCAGTAAAACCCATGCTGTTTCCACTGTTACTTGATCAGGGGCTCTCAGTCCAGCAGGCCCCTCTGGTTCTTCCATACATTTAAGTTTTCCCTCTCTAGGGATTTTCACATTTCTCTGGACCCTGTAGTCAAATAAAAGCTGTGCTCACCGGCGGCTTGCCCATAGTTAGCACATCGGCCAAAACAATTATTTTTTTCCCATTTCAGAGGGCACTTTTATAGGGAGTAATTCTGAAACTGGTTACATGAACAATGCCAAAGGTAAACAAAGCTGGATGCTAGTTAAAGTGGTAAGAACAGATTTTAATCAGTAATTTTTTTCAGTAATAATTACTATTGCAATAGAAAAAGAGTCTAGCATGAACTGGACTCAACTTTGGCCAGTACAGAGGTCACTGAGCATTTTAAAGAGAGAAAAAGGGCATAGGGAGGGGCCAGTGGGAACTCAGTAGAGTCAGAGAATTAAAAAATTTCAAAAAGCAAGGAAAGGGGGTTGGTCCATGTGAAAGCCACCTGGGTTTGCTCCTTGGTGCTTATTGAAGTTAGGCTCCTATCCTCCAATAGAGGCTGGGAAACAGGCCCACTTTCAGGTGTTGGATAGAAAAAACAGTCCATTCTTTTGGCATCCTTGAGTTTTTGCAGGCAGGTACTTTAAGGGGGCTCACAATCCAAGGATCGTGGCCTTGAGCTGTCAAACTATGTCAGTGTTTGTTCACGACTTTATAAGACAATGTTGAGGCCAGGTGGACAATGGGGCTTCGAGGAGCCTGGCATAGAATTTGGTCAAGGAGAGAATCTTTAGGAGCTTAAGGTTTCATGTTCATCTCTGTTCTCTATCAGTGGTCCCTGAACTTTGCTGTATACTGGAATCACTTGGAAGTCTTTAAAAAAAATACTGAAGCCTGGCTCCCCCTCCTAGAAAAATTTTAATCTAACTGGTATGGGGTGGGCCTGGGCTTTGGGTTGTTTGGGCAGCTTCCCAAATAATTTTAATGTGCAGCAGTGTTTGGGAACTGATGCTCTAGAATCACTTGCTACTCAAAGAGGGGTGTGTGGACCACAACCATTGGCATCTCCAGGGGCTTCTTCTGCACATTAAAGCTTGAGAAGTGCTGCTCTGAGCCAGTGGTTCTCAGGTTGAGCCTGCATCAGAACCACCAGGAGGGTTTGCTAAAATACAGATTGCTGCCCTGGCCAGTGTTCCCAGTGGTTAGAGCATTGGACCATGCACCAAAGGGTCATGGGTTTGATTCCTAGTCAAGGGCCCTTACTTGGGTTGTGGGTTTTCTCCTTGCCCCAGTTGGGGCACAGGCAGGAGGCAACCAGTCTATGTGTCTCTCTCACATCGATATTTCTCTCTTTCTCTCCCCCTCCTTCCTGCCCTTCCACTCTCTCTGAAAAGTAATGGAAAAAATATCCTCAGGTGAAGATCAACAACAACAACAACAAAAAAACACACAGCAGATTGCTGGGCCCATCCTGTTGGTTCTGATTCAGTATATGTGGGGCATGGCCTGATAATTTGCATGTCTAACAAGTTTCCAGGTGATGTTGCTGCTGGTCCAGGACGACACGCTGAGAACCACTCGTCTATGAAGACGTGTTTCTTCCTGTAAGCCCTAGGTGGGAGCTTAGTGGTGCCAATGAGCTCTGTGACTTTTGGCATGTGCGGAACCTCCCAGGCGTCAGTTTTTTCTTTCACCCAATAAAGAGGTTTGCCTAGATGCTCTCTAGGATTGCTTTTACTTTTGCTATAGCAAATGACATGCATGTATTTATCTATAAAATAAATATGCACTGTTAATGTGAATTTTCAAGAACAATTGCGGGCGAAAAGTGACAAAATGCTGCCTTATGCTGGGCTGTTCCTGGAGCTGGCACTTCGAGTCCTTCCAGGTCTAAGATGCGAGCCTCAGTTAATGAAAGATAATCCTGCTCCAAAGAGCTCAATTACGCTAACTAAGCACACATGAGGTATAACTCTGGACGCTTTTTCTCTATGCCAGTGGCTCTCAAAACGTGGCAACACCCAGGATTTGTTAGAAATGCAAATTCCAATTTTAATTCCAACCCTGGGTAACGGGTCGCAGCCATCTGTGTTTTAACAAGACTTCCCAGCGGTCTCAATGCTCAAGTCTGAGCATCACTGCTCTGCTTGAACCGGGAGACTCAGGTTATCTATTTTGTTCCTTCTCTCTGCCCCGTCCATAAAAAAACTTGCCTGGGGACCCAGGTATTTATCGGGGTTGCTAGATGAAAAAGCAACAAATAATCATCGCCTACTGTGTGCCAGGTACTGGACATGCGATGACCAAGAGAAGCAGAAACTCTGCCCTCATGGAGCTAATAGCCTTATAAAAGCAGGACAGCTGTGCAGAGGGCAACTGACCATCATGACGGCATGGACCATCAGCTGCATAAACACACTACCACACGGAGCCCCCTGCCCTTGAACAGCGCTGGAGTGATGCTGAGTGACGCCTTCCTTCCTGATAGCTGCCTCTCTACAGACTTCATGCAGCCCCACCAACTGTAGGGATAAAATAATTACTGTTGAAAAGTTAAAACACAAGGAGAAGATCTTCCTTTTAGGGGCCTTTTCAGTCAGCTTTCCTTAACCTGACCTGGCTTTCTAGAATCTAGAAAGAGGCTTGGAAAACTTTACCCCACTAGTGCTGAGCTCATGTCTTGGTCCATAACAGGCACCCACTAAACGCCTGAAGAGTGGATGTGTGATCGCTGCTCGGCCTTTGGCTAAGATCAAGTGTAGAGTGGATATACGAGCCAACAACACATTAACAAATCATCTCTTAGGGTGGGTCGCTGCACTTGATCAATCTTGTCCATTTTGATACTGATTCTCATTAGCTTCCATTTCATATGCTGACATTTCCTAGGTTTATCCCCAAATTGTTCTGGTGCCTGTAGCAACTTATCGATGCACTGATTACGTGTTTACAAACATACATTTGAAATTGGAGACCTGTTGAGCGATTTACATGGAATCAGCTTATGTTTTTAAAAATATCCATTTGTACTTTCAAATTATGATTTGTTCAGCTGTTTCGATGGGCACAATTTCTAATCCTTTTAACAGAGAAAAATCAGTCTTTAGAGTTGATGATCTGTAATAGGTAATGACTTAATTTTGTGTACACACGTGCAAACTGAAGTATCGAGGACATTGCACCGGTGCCTCTACCCATCACAATACCTGGCCAGAATCATGAAGGTTTGGGGAAATGGGGGGCCGAGGAAGCCGTCAGGCTGGGAAGGAGAATTTCTGAGTTTCTAATTGGAAAGCCTGAAATGTCAAAGGTGGACAGGCCCCAGTAGGCTCTGGTTGCTGGAACTCTGTGTTCTGGCTGAAGGTGTAAGTGCTGACCTTTCATCCAAAAAGGTACCCTTTGTGACAAAGAATGACGTCACTGGTTTAACCTCCGCTTTCAACTGGATTTGCTTTAACAGGATTCCAGGTAATACAACTGCACAATGTGATACTCTCAAAAACAAAGGTCATGCTGTCTCCCGCCACTTGGGTCCAAAGGCTCACTGGGAGATCCATAAAGCAAAGGCAGAGATACTTAGACTTTTTCAAAAATTCCTAAGTGCTGACTCACAAGCAACAATCGTTCTAAGTTATTCACAAAGAGGCAGCGATGTCCAGCATCTTCCTTAGACTATCTGCAAGTCCCTTGCGCATTTTAACTGCTCAGGGAGTGCTTATTGTTGGACATAATGGGCAGAGGCAGAGATTCTGGTCATGGGTCTTCTTGGGAGTGACCTAAGAGAGTGGAGAGAGTTTAAAAAATATTTCTAATATTGTGTCGGGGGTGGCAGTGACCATCCCTCTTGTCACATATCACTGAGGATCCCTAGATGTGTTTGCCTGGGCCCTTATGCGGACTAAGTTGGGGAAAAATTGGGGATTCTTATTAGCTCCTGGTTATCTGAAAGTGTCCTCAAGGGAAGGAAACTCCACTTCTTTTAGGGAGGCTGGGATGAACTTGGGTTATACTTCCTGGATGCGGACTTGGTGACCATGATGTTCCCGTGGCCTAAGACAAGCTCTGTAAAGAATGTGTTATCTCGAGTGTCACCACCAAAGACCTGCTCTTGGAATCTGTGTGCAACTGGCACATGCAGAGGTTAGGGAGGCCTACTCAGAAAGAAAAGCAGTGGAGTGTGAGGAGAAAGCCTGTCTGTAAGAGCTTCTCAAAGTTCCCACAAAGGGCCTCAGGTCCTTGAACAGGCTTTCTGGTAGGAGACTGGCTTTCGTATGAAACCAGTTCAGGTCCGAGGGGCACATGGGACTGCTGGTGCTAACTGGAGGGCTGGGACTTATCCGGTCCACAGATACATTTCATTTGGGATGCATATCAGTTTAAAAATTTTTGAGCCCTAGCTGGTTTTGCTCAATGGTTAGAGCATCTGCCTGCAGACTGAAGGGTCCTGAGCTCATTGCCGGCCGAGGGCATGTACCTTGGTTGCAGGCTCAGTCCCTGGCCTGGGTTGGGGCTCATGAGGGAGGGGCAACCAATTGATGTCTCTCTCACATCAACGTTTCTCTCTCTCTGTCTCTCTCTCTTCCCCGCTTCCACTCTCTTTGAAAAGCAATGGAAAAAATATCCTCAGGTGAGGATTAAAAAAAATTTTTTTTGAGACTTCACATTTTAAAAATAGGGAGATTCACATATATACCTGGGCTTCTGTTTTCTGAATAACCAGAAGATCCCAGAAGTGCCTGAGCTGTATTCCCACACGACAGTAATCAGCCCACTGAAGCTGAGCAGTGGCTGTCCTCAAGGTTGCCACATTCTTTTGTGACCTGCTTCTCTCAGTCACATTATCAATGTGAATCCTGAAGACACCTGAGTTTGCAATGGTTGATGTAACTCAAAAAAAGTATTTACCGAACACCTTTTATGTACAGAATACTGATGCTATTGCTTAGCCTTCTTTAAGAACTATATAGGTGGCACTCTCACCTTTGGATAATGCTGTTTTAGACAGGGGCCAGGATACTATTTGGTGGGGAGAGTTGGCCTTACACTGGAGCTGGATTTCCACTGGGCTGTTCCTTGGTGACCCCCCTGCCACCTCCCACCTCCTTGCCATATGTTACCTAGAATGCCACTATCATCATGAGTGAGGTACCTGTGAAAAGTTACCAATGGGACCGTCCAGCTCAGGGTTTGCATTTAGAACAGAGGAAGGAAAGAGAGTGCCATTTCATATATTGGCATTCATCTATTTTATTACATATTAAAAGACCCCCACAAACAAGCCCTCCCTCTAACAAGCGTAGTTTGCAAATACAAACAGTAGGTGCACACTGAAAAATAATGATCTCTAAATCTTTTCACTTGCAAAAGTTTAGGTGTAATTTAGAAAAGTCTCCCTTTATTGGTATGCTTAAAAAAATGCACCTCACACTCTTCAATCAAATTAAAGTTGGATCCATTCGGTTTCTTTCTGGAGATATAAGTTATCATCCTGAGAATATTCAGAGTTTCAGAGTTTCAGCATTTATGGCATTGTAAATGTCCTCAGTCATAGGCACATACGTTTCTGCTTTGTCATCCAAGAAATACAAGGCATCTTTGATGACTGCAGGGTTAAAGCCCTCCTCCATGAGGGTCACTTTGCAGTGTTTAAAAGTTCCAGTGATCTCAATGGTGTCCTGAAAAACATCAAACAATCCACATGGTTGTAGTGTTTTGCAAACAGATTAGGGTGCAGGGAAAGGGGTACAGGTGGGGCAGTGGGGCTGGCACGTCTGGCTCCTTTGAGAATTGTGAATGTGAGTTTTGTGAGACGGATACATCCTGCTTTCTGAAGCTCCATTAGGGGACCCTTTGTGGAGGTAATTTTCATTCTCTTAAAGCTTTTTTTTTTTTATTCAATCAATGTTTATTGATTTTAGAGAGAGAGAAAAAGAGAGAGACAGAAACATCGATGTGAGAGAGAAATATCCATCTGTTGCCTCTCGTACTTGCTCTGCTCAGGGATCAAACCTGCAACCTAGGCATGTGCCCTGACTGGGAATCAAACCTGCAACCTTTTGATGCACGAGATGATGCTCCAACCAATTGAACTACCTGGGCAGGGCTCATTCCTTTAAAGCTTTAAGATCACCTGTGGGGAGTAAACTATGGAGCAGAGAGTCTATTGCTTGGTGAGCTTCAGGAATTACTGGAATATCCTGATTAAAGGTGGGGTGGGGCTAAGGATCATCTACACACAACAACTCTATTTTTTTCAGCCTGTTGTCCATTAGACTGAAGATTTGTTTTTTCTTCAATTAATAGGGAATGATCTGAGGATATGTCTATTTTCATGTCTCTCAACCATCACATTGCAAAGCAAATGCCAGTGCTTTGTGAACATCAGTTTTATAGCCACAGCGATGTCTGGTAATCTAACGCTTTCAAACTCTTCAGAATCATAGTGCTCAAAGTCCACAAGTGAGAGTGTTAAACTAACCAAGGGGTTAATGTTTGAGAAAGAAAAACAAATCCCTCTAGTGGTGACAGCTAAACCTTTGGTAGTTCCAACTGGCTAATGATGCCCAGTTGAACTTCACATATTAGAAAGGCATAGGACGTCAGCGGATTACCCCCTTCTTTAAAACTGGAAACAACAAATAGGAGGGGTGGAGCATTTCTGTTTTAAGTGTCTGTCACATATCTCCAAACACAGACTTTGTGACTTATTTGCTAATACTGTTGCTGAATGAACTGGCTTAATTTGAGGGAGGAAGGGATTAAGATTTGGTTTCTGCTAGTTATATTTTTCTGATATTTCTGCTTCCTTGTAGAACTTCCTGGAGAGGGTAGTGAAAATCTGGCCAATGTGGTCGCCATGGTAAAGGGGAAGATGTTGCCTAAGAGACAGGGGTCTCCATGAGAGAGGATAATTGAACTGGGTAACAAGAGGTCTCACCTGTATCCTTAGAAACCGAGGCCTTGCATAACCAGGCAGGTAATCAGCAATGTGCTTAAAGAGTTTCTTTCCATCAAATTCGTGACCTTCCTTCATCCTAATTGAGGCCATGCCAATTCGACCCTCGTGACCTAGAAGTAACGTGAAAGATATTAGATGTGTTGTAGCTATTTTATTTATAATGCTTTGCTATTTCAAAGAACAGTTCACTGAGACAACATTATGGCATAAGTTTCTTTTGGATAGTCGGAATTTTTATTTCAAATATGTGTCAAAGTTATTCTAAAGTGAAAATACTATTACTACTACTACTATTACTACTAGCAGCTATACATAGATTAAATCTTTATTATATGCCAGGTCTTGTGGACTACCTCATTTAACCCTTGCAACAAACTTTAAAGAGGTTCAAATCTTCTCTCTATTTTACAGATGAACAAACTGAGGCTTAAAGATATTAGGAGCCCTAGCTAGTGTGGCTCAGTGGTTAGAGTGTCGGCCCATGGACTGAAGAGACCTGGGTTTGATTCTGGCCAAGGGCACGTACCTCGGTTGCCAGCTCCATCCCCTGCCCCAGTAGGGGTGTGTGCGGGAGGCAACCAATGGACGTGTCTCTCTCACATCGATGTTTCTTTCTCTTTCTTTCTCTCTCACTTTCCCTCCCTCCCTCC